GAGTCTTCTGGACTCCTTAATCCCAGCACTGACCTCCGTCACTGCCAGTTTACTTTTCTCTGTATAACTCCTCTTGTTTTTAAAGTCCTAAGGTCAGAAACCTTTCAATGCCTGCTCCAGTTTCCCCCTGCAGCTGGTAGTTTGAGAGTGGTTGGTCTCTTCTTAACCACCCAAGGACTTTTCTGCAGAAGGAGGATATGGCTTGGGACAGATGCTATCCCAGTGCTCAGCACTTTATTGGGTTGGTTTCTGAAGGTCACAATGGAGATCTGTACCAATAACTCTTTTTTCAATATGTGCCATCAACTTCTGTTATTGACAAGTAAAAGCAAAGCATAAGTCTTATGCTGAATATTTAGTCTGCCCTGAGCAAAATATGTGTACAAAAGCTGTTTGAGTAGCATTGCATATACTTTCTCATCTCTCTTTTCCCCCTTCCTCTCCTTTGCAGGTCTTTTGAAGAGCAAAAAGCACATCATTTCCTGAGAGCTGTGTTCACACAGAGAACTAACATTTCTGGATGCAGAGAGACAAGAGAACTTTGTTTCCTTGGCAACTGGAGCCGTCAGAAAGTGTTTCCAGCATCTCCTTCCTTTACACAGGCTCACTATCATTGTAGCCTTTGGTCAAACATGTAGTAAAAACAAATATTAGCTGAAAAAACATCTTGATAGTGTGCTCCACTTAACTCCTGTGGTCTCTTCTCCAGGCTCTATACTGGAAGGTGATCTCTGGAAATGATTCTGTTCCAAAGTGTCTGGTGTTACAGTTCTTGGCTAAACCTCAAGGTTAGTCCTATCCTGCACATTTGGCTGAAACCCAAAGAGTGTCATGTCTAGAAAACAATGCCAGGAACTAAAGAGCTTTCACTCAAAGCCTGAGTGGGCTGAGGTGATGGAGCCGGGTCTGTGCTGCAGGAGATGGTGAGCAGATGGCACGGTGCTGCACAGGGTTGTGCCAGTGATTCAAAGTGGTTCATTCTTACCCCTGAGTCAGGGCTGAGTTAATGTCCCACCACATCTTTAAGGTTTTAAAACACCGTGTTGATGGGGGCAGCTCTTTAGCTTTTGGTAAGATAAAAGACAGTGCTGAAGCCCTTCCTACCTGCTATTGTTATCACGTATTTCCCTTTCCCCTTGTTTCTTATTCATTTAAAGAATTTCACTGAGATTGCAAAAGAAAAGACTTTATAGATACAAAATTCCCAGTTTATGGCTGCTCTTCCACTTATATTTAACGATATTCTGTAGCTGATTTTTGTTTGAGGCAGAGAGGCTAGGGAAAATAAAAATTTGTGTAAATGCACATGTTGTAGTTTCTAGTATCAAGCAGCTGAACATGATATTTTTTCCTTTTTGAGGGCTGGAATTTACAACTTAAACAATTTTCTATAATTATGGAATTTATGGAATTATGGAATTCATCAAATTATAGTTTTGTATGCTTAATTTTAAAAGTCCAAGTGGGTTCTATTGTGTTTCTCAAAGTTCAGTGGGGTTTACACTATCAGGTCCAAAGTATTACAGAAAAAAAGTTGGCAGGCATGCAAGCCACATGTTGATAAGAACACTCCTGGAGGAAAATCACAGCTAAGTCATGAGATGAGAGGTTTTTACGCTGCCTTTCTTCTCTAAATATTTCCTTGCTTGCCTTTGAGAGCAGGGCCTTCTGTCTGAGGTAAGCCCTTAGAGGGAGCGAGGGTTTCTGGCATTGGTGTGTGGGCAGTCTGGGTTGGGTCACCTGCAAACCCAGCCTTTCTCTGCCCTCGTGTCTCCAGGAAACTCCTGCCCTTTTCCACAGGACTGTTGGGAAGGGTGCAGAAGCACTGTGCAGTTAGTGTTGAAGGAGAGGAAGATGGTGATGCACACTGGCTCTCGCTCTGCCTTTAGATTTTCTTTCGATATTATGGCAGCTGTTTCTGGTACCTGCAGTGACACCAGTTGGTGCTGATAATCCTGATATTCAGGTTTTCATTAGCAAAGCCAGTGCAAGAAAGGAAAATATTATTTTTTAACAGTGAATATGATTTTGATTTGATTTTCAGAAGACAACCCATTTCCCTTAGCCAAGTACTTTCTTCCTACTGCATCACAAAGTCCTACAGCAACTAAGAGCAAATACTAGTTACAACAAAAATAAAAACATGTTCCAACATGGAACACGCATAAGCAAAAAGCATCAGGCAACTTAAACATTGCCTCTGGCTCAACCTGTAATTTGCAGTGTTGTGGTCAAACTTTTCCTCATTCCACTCCCATGTAGCTACAGTGCAAACCCCATGAAGGGCCAGTCACTACAACTGTGAGCGCATCATTGTTGTACTAACTCTAAGATCTGTGAAGAGTTTCAGCACAGAATTTAGCTAGAGAATGAGCAGCTTACTGTCCAACCATTGGTGCTTGAAAAAGCTGTGAGTCTGCTATCTATCTCACTTTTTTGGTATCATCTGTCCTGTAGATTTACTCTGAGCAATAATAGGTTTTCTTCCCCATACAGAAATTTCGAATCCACCCGTAGCAATTGCAGAGTGACAAAATGATTGCTCATAAGAGCTAATTTAGCAATGAGTGCTAAAATATTGCTATCTTAAATCTGTCCTGTATATTTTAATTGCAGAATGTAGAACATTCTGGGGAAGATGCTAATAGGAAGCTGAAAATAACCAGTAAAATTAATTACGAGAAGATACAGCAATAGTATTTCCCTTCAATACATGGGCAGGAGATCATGGATTGCAGAGGATAAAAACAGAATTTGAGTACTGTAAGAAATGGATTTGTAAAGGATTTTTAAAGTTTGATTGAAAGTTTACAAAATAATAAAATAGTGCGAAGTTTTACATCTCTTATGTTTCACCCTTCAATAATAGAATAAAATCTTAAAAAAATAATGCCTCTTAGTTGCCTCATCTCTGTAAAGTTGAGATTTTCCAACAGAATATTTTTTATGTTAAGATCTACTTCATCATCAAAAAAAAAGATTACTTAGGTTGTGTCCCTGTCTCGGGGACATTTCTGTCACACATCTGTTATTTTACATTTTTATCCATCGTCATTAGATATGAAACTTTTAGACAGCTCTATACATGATCATGAGCAGTTTCTGAAGTTCTGGAGGAAGCAGTGACCACAGTCAAAGCCATTATCATATTTGAACAAGCCTTTTCCTCTAAGAGAGGGTGTTCTGTACCTTTTAAGCCTCCTACATGACTTTTCACTCATAATTTAATCTCTTGATTATAGGTTTAGAAAAAATTGGTTTAGGATAGAAAACTCAGTTGTATCACAGACACTCAACAAAAGGAGCATGAAGTAAAGTTTCAAGATAGGAAAACCTTGAAGGAAATCCACAGCCTCTCTCTCTCTCCAGAGACTGGTTTCCTGTCACAAACTTTGAGATGCAGCCAGTCTGGCTGTTCCCAGCCTCTTCCAAAGAAGTAGGAATAACTCAAGGTCTTGCCTCTTCTCTCCCAATTTGCCATCTAGAGAGAGTTCTGGTGGGGATTTCAAGGTCTGTATGCAAGTTAAAGGATACTTGAACACATATATTGGTGCCTTGCCAGCTCCTGCTTGAGGGAGTATATTAGGGATAAGCTCTGAGGGATGTGATTTCTGTACACACCACCTCCCTATTTCTGGCTGCAGCTGGGAGAATGGAGTGCTAGAGGGATTTCTCAGCTTCCAACATGGTGTGGGACAGCTTGAAAAAACTGCATAGTATTTAAGTTGCCCCTCTTTCTTAGGTAGCCAGCTTCTGACTTTGGAGTTTCAGGTGCAAAGGAACAGGGGCACAGCTATTATCTCTAATTTCAGTGGGAAATGTTTTGGACATACGGTTGTGGAGTTGAGGCATGAAAGAGCTGATGGACCAGGCAAGGCACCTAAACATAAAATTCCTCTTTTATTCAGTGTCTACTAGTCTGAAATCCTGTGGGATTCAATAAGACAAAGAAGATTATTTCTTGAGGCCTGGGATTGCAGGGGAATTGAGGGAAGACAACTTGGAAAAGTGTATTAAAATAAGCATTCATTCATAACAGAACTTATTTCTTGCTTTTATTTTAATATATCTGCAACTCAGTGTTTAGAACGAAGTCATGTGAGCTACTGAGCTGCGGGGACAGAGACAGTGGAGAGCGTGTGCATCAGTGCAGAGTGCTGCTGGAGCCCTGGCAGAGCGAGAGGGAGGCAGAGGGAGCCTGAGAGAGAAAAGGCGAAGTGGTGGGAGCTGGAACAGCAGCAACTGCTGCTGCTGCTGCTGCTGCACGGTGCAGCTGATGCCTGGGAAGCGGATCTGCTGCCAGCACGCCTCTCTGAGGACGCAGGTGCCTCACATCCAAAAGTCCTAGGTGGTCAGTGGCACTTCCAGGAGCTGAGCACAGAGGCTTTATTCTTTTATTTGCCTGCAAAGAGCACTTGTTTGAGGACTCCGCTTCTTTTCCTGGACTGAAAGGTATTTTTTGTCATTCATGTGTCTTTTCTATGAAAGCAGGTATGGGTTCAGGAAAAAAAAATAACTCAGGGCAGGATGTCAAAGCAGGTGTGCAGAGAGGTGGTGGGTTAATCTGTCTCCTTCCCCTTTATAGCAGAGCTTAGGCAATGAGGAGCCCCTGTTAGGATAGAGTTTGACTTAAAATATGAAAAATGGGAAAGACAGGGTTAAAGTGTGGGGGTGGATCTGAGCTGTTCCCATCTGGCTTGCCTTCGAAAGTGGAGGAAAACTTTCCTTGTGCACTTGGAGAAGCAGCATTACATAGCAAGATATAAAACTTGCAATCGTTTAATATGAATGTGATTTGCTTAAATCTCTGCTTGGCAAATTACAGTTCCCATCACAGCAGAGGTCCCCTTAGCACATAACAAGTTTCAGAGGTCTTAATGTTCCGTGGCTGTAAAAATACTTCTGTTTCTTTCTCTCTCTCCTCTCTTTCCAGCATACCTGCCTCCTGCTGTGTGCGCTCTCCTCCTGATTTCCCTCCTGCCCGTGGGGACTGTCCCCCTATGGATGCCCCCATACAGATTTTCCGTGAGGAGCCAGACTCCACCTGCTCCCCAGGGCCCTGCCGACCCCCCAGCACCAGCAGCAGCTGGCTCCCGGGCTGGGCAGACTATGACAGCAATGCCACTGGGGTCTTTGGGGACGGCCAGCACAACCACACCAGCATCTCCCCCGCCATTCCCATCATCATCACTGCTGTCTACTCCGTGGTCTTCGTGGTCGGCTTGGTGGGGAACTCCCTGGTCATGTTTGTCATCATAAGGTAAGAGGTTTGGGTACCGGTTGGAAGAGGTGCAAAAGACTGTCCCTAAGTTTGGCAGGGTGGGGGAGTGGGTGGATTATGGAAGCTCTACAGTGAGGAACTGGAAAAAAGCGACTGAAATGACCCAAACCCTGTCAGTCACGGTAGTTTGCCTGGGCTTGTGTTAGAGACAGAAGGGACAAGCTGGTTAATGTGATAAATCCTGCAGCCCGAGGGAAAGTGCTTTGTGCCTGCAGCTGTGTTCATTGGCTGCCCTCTAGGGATGAGACACTGCTGGCATTCCAGGGAAAAAAGCTCGAGTGAAAGAAGGAAACTTCTACAGGGCAGCTTTTATTTCCCCTGTGAGGAGACCCCGAGGGACAGCCTATGTGTCCAGTCATGTGGACACTCATACATCGCTGCCTTGGCACCTAATGTTTTGTTTAACAGAGAGGGAAAGCCAGGAAATTATAAAGACAGGAGGAACGGCTTAATGTTGAACCAGGGATGTTTTTTCTCTGTTCAGCAGTGTTTAACTCCAGTTGTTGGTGTTGGACTGAAGAAAGCAGAGAAAGTGCTGAAATGCCTTTTCAAATATTTTTCAGGAAAGGGGGAAAATCTCTGTGTCTGTGTTTGTGAAGGTTTCAAACTAAACCACCTAGTGAAATGCACTGATACTTATCCTTGCACTTACACTTACACACTGGTGTATGTTTTAGCTTGCACTGTGCTTCCTCTCTCTTTTTGTCCTTTTCATGTGCAATCTATAGCCTTGCTTGGACAATGCTGTTCAGCAGGGTGAGAATGAGCAATCCAGGTCACTGAAATGATGCAATTTTTTGGACTCTTTCTCCACAGCCCGTTTGAATTCTGATAGAGTCTCTGGGGAAAAAATCCCAGAATTGTGGAGTATTCATTGCTCCAATGAAATCAGCTTGTACATGGAAAAAAATTGAGGTATTGGAAGGGATTCTCTTTTAAAAACATGCATGATAAGGGTCAAGCAATTGCAGAATGATGAAGTAATTGTCAGACTTGATATAAGGGGAAGTTATGAGAACCACTGAAGTTGTTGATAAGGTACTTCAAAAGGATGAGTTATAATCAGGTGAATACTCTTGAAAATGAAAACAAAATTCCATTTACTAGTCAGTGCAATAAAGAAAGATGCCTGTGGCCAGTTAAAAAAAGTGGTTGGCTCCAGTTTTATGATGTGATTTTTATACCCCTGCATGCCCTATTGCCATTTATTCAGGGCAGAGATTTAATTTTTTTTGTATTTCTCCTTCAAGAAAAGAGACTCCATACTTGACAGTCACACAGCTGCAAAGGTAGGGATTTTGTAAGCTATTTACTGGCAAAAATAGCTGATTAACTGGCCTGGGCAGCAGAAATAAATCCAAACTTATTGATGCATATATATTTACTTTTTTTCTCTCCTTCTGCTACCCTACTAAGATTATTTTTGTAAGGATCTAGGCAGTTATTGCTCACTTTCCTTCTAGTTCCAACATTAACCTTTCCTTGAATTTTCTCTTGGCCCATCTCTCAATTATGTGGTAAAATAAATAAATAAATAAGACAAAACACCCCTTGGTAATTTTTTTTGTGTTCTCTCCTAGGTTTTCTGTGTGGCAGATGCTTTAAACATTGGTTGAATCATTAGATGAAGCCATGTACAAGCCAGTATTTTTAAATGTTTTTTATGGTCTTGAAGTATTTGAAATGTTCATGCAAGAGGTTTATTTTCTTCATTTTTGTCCAAACGTCTCATCTCCCTCCATTTTTTTTCCTCACATATACTCTCTGCATGATTGTCTCTGGATGGATTTTAATGACCCATGCAGTGATGTCCTTTTGTGAGGAAAGACAAGGTCTATGGGAAGTTTGTGATAGAAGATGGTAAGGGAGAGGCAGATCCTGTCCCCCACAATAGCCCCCCTCCAGCTGCCACAACTCTAAAGTGGGATGGGGATATTCCGTGGCTCTTTTTTATCTTCCAGCTGAGTACTGGCTTTGTCTGAGGCCCTTTGCTGTAGTTTCTCAACTTTGAACTCCAGATCTGCTCTCCTCCTCCTAACTCCCTCTGGAGAGGCAGGAGAGGCAGGCATGACTCCTTCTCTCTTTGCTCATTTAAACATCTAATATTGTTAGAATAGTTCAGTTGGATTCATTACAATCATAATCTAGCACAACTACCTGACACTCCAGGCCTGACACTGGGTCACTTTTTGGGTGATAAAAAAAAGACCCTTTTTGTTCTGAGACTTTCAGTCAAAGTGTTGAAGTGTCAATGCTGTGGTAGATTTAGGAGACTCCAGAATCTTGGGATGGCTCAAAAACTGGCTCAAATTCAGCCATAGCCTGTGGTATAGGCAGGCCTTGGCCAATTCCTTGCTTTAATACCACTACAGGACTGGTTTTGCTACTTCTGCATAAGGGCTGCTAAAGAAGCTCACGGACACCAGTGAGTCAGCATCTCAGCAGCTTGTGCATAGAGTGCTGGGTAAATGAAATCTCTTACAAGTCTGGTGGGATGTTTTTCTGCAGAGAGGGAAAAATCAAGAGTTTCCTCAGAGGAAAAAATAACAGGAGAATGTCACTTCAATCACATGTACAAACTCTTGACAGAAAAGTAGCTGAGTCTGATACATCTCCTGTGAGGAGAGAATTGTGTTGAATGGGAATGGTCCTTTAGTACACTGTTGACAGCATGGCCTCTTAAACTATTTATCAGGAGACTTGGATTCTTCTCTTGGTTTTTATATCAGGCTTCAACACTTTTTCCTGTCCCTATGAGGTCACTTCATGGTTTTCTCACAAGTAAACTGGAGATGCCAGCATTCACTGTCTTTAAACACATAGCAACAGTTCGATTTAAAAGCCAAAGTCTAATCACTAAAGCTTATAACAGAGAAAGACCAGGCCTATTGTAAACACCCTGGGCTCCTCAGACACATGCAGAGTGGTCATTTTTAATGAGCAGAAAAAGCTCTGTGTTGAGTAGAGAGTGGATTGGCACTCTGCTCCTGCCCAGGGCAGCTGGCTCTCCCAGCGTGGGTGGTTTGCAGGAACTGTCCCTGTGAGCACGGGCACCATTCCAAAGGGCTCTGCTGTCGGCTGGCTGGATGGACAGTCCATGGCACATGGGATGTGATGCTGTCCTGTGGCTGCTGCTTTTCCTGGGAGAGAGTAAGAGGAAAAGAGGCCATCTAATTTCCTCTTGTATTGGTGGGAAATACAGGCACTGTGTGGGAAGCACAGTCCTTCCCTATGGAGGAGGAGGGGAAGCATGAAATGGGTTTGCAGATATCAGGTAAAGTTATCTGACCTCACCTGAGGAAAGTCCTGCAGCTGCGTGGCTCTTGGCACTACCAGAATCCACTTCAACCCCAAACCTTTTCTTTTGAGATTAGCTTTCCTCTGAAGTCTCAGAAGATATTTCTGGAGGTAATTTAGTTGGCTGAAGGGGATTAAAAATAACAACTATTTGTCCTTGGAAGCAAAAAGGCTTTTTTCTCCATTCCTCTTCCCTCATGACCTTTTTTTTTTTAAACTTTAATGCTGGCTGTAAGCAAAATAGTAGTTTCTTGTGACAGCTACAAGAAAGAAAATCTGACTAAAGTTACAGCTTTAACTGTGGATTTGTGCTTATCAAAATCATAAACATGTTCTGATAAAACCCTGAGAGATGCTCTCTCTTACCCTCTTTAGATGCCCTTTTTTTGTGTATTTATCTTACCCTCATTGTTCCTGAAGTAATTTACTGAGACCAACTGATACCAACAGGATCCCAAAGAGCCTATTCTGTATTTGTTTTAAAATTATCTTTCAAGCTTCTAGTGAACGGAATAATTTTCTACATTCAAGAATTTTTAAGAAAGGGTTGTGTTACAGATATGTAGATTGAGTCCTAAGGGAAAAGAGAAATCTTATAATCCTCTGCTTAGTTTAATATTGAATTATTGCATCTTATACAACAGGAGGAGTGTATTAAGAAATGTCATATAAAATTGACTCCTTACCAGATAGTTTTTAAAATTTCTTCATCATTCATTCCAAATAAGAATAAAAATATATATTTTTAAAAAGTACACAACAGTGAAATTGATTCAACGCATTGGTTTAAATTAATAATAGATTTTGATATCATCAAATGCTCACTTGTTAAATTGCTTTAAATTATTGTCCTAATTTTATTAAATTATATTTGGAAAGAATATTGTTCTGAAATGAAAATTTAAGCTCCAGAAAAGCCGACCTAACTGAATTACATGTTCCCTATTTCTGACAGTTTGTGTGATTTCATTCTTTTATGAAATCAAGGTTTCAGCTGCTAAAGGCAAAAGGTGAATTGTACTATACTTTGTGAAGCTTAGGACTTTTAACCTTTCCTTTGCTAATCAAAAATCTGACAGCTTACTACTACCAACAGAGAGGCATCAAATGGATTCATAGCAATTCATCACAGATTTCAAAGAGCATTTAGCCTTACCTCACTGAATGGAGGTAATTTTGATCAGTTCTGCAGCGTTAGTTCAAACGTGACATAATTTCCATCATGACTTTGAAGACTGATCATTACCAAAAGCTTTTACAGATGGCACAAAGAACAAGGCAACAGGAAACATGAAAGAGGACAAGCTTATAAAAGAGCATCAATAGTCTGACAACACAGACAATTTAAACAAAATGTTACTATTTCTAATACTTTTAAAGCCCAGCTAGACAGTGACTAAGCGAGACCTGGGATTTACAAGCTGACAAGAAACCCAGCTCATGGTCATGCTGTGATAAGAAGAGCTGATACTGAAAATAGGCAGGGAGAGCAGAGGAAAGGCTTGAAAGGAATATTTACTAGAGACAGTATTAAAGAGAGGCTATAGCTTATAGTGAGTAATGTGTTTGGCTTCTGAAAAGTAATTTGGTATCCATCCAGACATTTCCGCTGGGCTAACAGCCAGGTAATCATTTAGTTCAGAGAAAGGCATAACTGGAATCGGAGACTGGAAGCACGATGA